TATTTATTTATCAATAAATTCAAAAATAAAGATAATCGCCAAGTTTTTTTTTCAAAAAAAATAATAATAAAAAAAAAAAAAATAAAAAAAAAAAATAAACGCTGAACAAAAAGAGATAATTCATTTTGAAAAAATAAATTCTTATTTAGATTTAAATTTATTTACAAGAAAACGTGAAATTTCGAAAGAAAATATTTTCGAATTACGGGGGAAAAATGAATAAATAAATAAATAAAAATCTGAAAAAAAAAATAGGAAGAGGAAAATTTTAAAATATTTGGCAAGAATTTTTCAAAAAGGAAAATGTCGACATTTCAGAAAAAGGATAATTAATTTCGAATAAAGATATTAATTCAGTCGTGAATTAATTGAATTTAGTCGAAATTAATTGAGGGGTTTAGAATAACATTTTTAAGAGAAAAGTACTTCCGAATTGTAAAAAGAGTTTCGAATTTCAACAAAAATTGCGAAAAGAAATTGTGAATTAAAATACTGGGAAAAAGAATTAATTAGAATTATTTTTGAATTTCCAACAGAAATATCGAAAAAGAATTTAATTAATTCTAACGTATTTTCAAAAGTTTCGAAAAAAATAAAAATAAAAATAAAAATAAAAAATTACGTAGAAATGTTTTGAAAAAGAAATGTTGAAAAAGAAATGTTGAAAAAGAAATGTCGAAAAAGAGTTAAATTAATTCTAAAATATTTTCAAAATTTTCGAAGAGAAAAACGAATGAATTGAAAGTAGTTTCGAATTTCAAAGAGATGTCGAAAAAGGAAAAATTCTAAAGTATTTCGAGTTACGAAAGAGTTTGATTAATTCTAAAATGTTTTCCAAATTACAAAAATTCCGAAAATGAAATAATTAGGAATGTTTTCGAATTATGAAAACGAAATGTCGAAAAAGAATTTAATTAATTCTGAAATTTTCAAAATTTTTCGAAAAAAGAATTAATTAAACTGATTTTCGAATTTCGAAGATGAAAGGTAGAGAGAGTGCTTAATCCTATGTATTTTCAAAAATTTTGAAAAAGAAAAAAAAAGTTATAGAGAGAGAAAAATAAAAAAATGTCACGAACGTTTCAAAATGGATGTTAGAAGAAAATAATAATAAAGGGATAGATGGTAAATCGAGGGCGAAGCGATCCTATCTATGATGACGATGATCATGATGATGATGATGATAGGGGGGGAAGTGGACTCGGGGGATCGCGCGCGGGTTGCACGTGGGAGGAAGGAAGTTGTGTGGGGGGAAGGTCGCGCGGGGGGGGATAATCGGGGTCAGGAGTCGGGTGCAGCGGGCGGGAGCGGGAGCGGGAGGGGGAGTCGGAGTCGGGGACGGGAAGGGCGGCGGGAGTGGGATCAGAGTCGGAGGCAGGAGTGGGAAGTCGGGA